GTTCTCTTTCTCCCTCTGTCCCTCTCCCCCACTCATGATCTCTCTCCCCACCCCCCCCCCAAAAAAAATCTAAGAAACAAAAAACTTACTAAATTCTATTAAATACTTTAAATTATACTATTCTATTCTATTCAATACTTTAAATTATACTCGTCTTTTTCTATGAATGCATTTTGTTTTGTATAAGATATAATCAAATAGTGGAGAACCTAGCTAGTTCAGTTGGTGGAGTGAGTGACTACTGATCTCAGGGTTTTAAGTCCAAGCCCTGTGTTGGGTGCAGAGATTACTTTAAAAAAAAAAAAAATCTTAAAAAAAAAAATACTCAAATAATAAAAAATTAGAAGAAAAAGAGATCAACAACAGAACTGAAAATCTACAAACAGACCCAATTATAAACAAAAATGTGATATATAAACAGGAATTATTTAATGAATGATGCTGAAACATCTAACTGCAAAAATAATGAAGTGAGGTTCCAATCCAAAATATATTCTAACTGCAGAGTTAAAGGTAAAAAAAACAAAGGAGACAGGATGGGGTTGCAGGGGACCAAAAAAGAACCAGAGTAAAATACAGGTAGTTATCTGACTCAAGGGAGGGAAAGGACATCCTTAGCAAAATAACCAAAGGCAGAAAAGATGATAGCTAAATAAAGGCTAAAAAGATTAACCTTCATAAAAATTAAGAAAATCCATCTTAAAAAATGCCATCAACAAACTTACTTTAATTATACCAAAATTACTTTAACAGTAAAGAGAGAAATGTATTTCCAATGTACAAAATAGACTATGAGAGAGGTGCCTAGGTGACTCAGTCAGTTAAGCCTCCAACTCTTAGTTCTGGCTCAGGTCACGATCTCGCAGTTCGTGAGTTCAAGCCCCGCATCAGGCTCTATGCTAATAGTGTGGAGCCTGCTTGGGATTCTCTCTCTTTCTCTCTCTCTGCGCCCACCCCCCACTTGTGTGCTCTCTCTCAAAATAAATAAATAAAAACTTAAAAAAAAATAGACTGAGTTAATATTTCCAATATATATATAGAACATATGATTTATTAGAAAAAACTAAAGATGTGTATTTTCTTTCTTTTAATGTTTATTTCTTTATTTTTGAGAGAAGGAGTGAGCAGGGGAGGAGCAGAGAGGCAGAGAGAGAGAGAGAGAGAGACAGAGACAGAGAGAGGGACAGAGAGAGGGACAGAGAATCCCAAGCAGGCTCCAAACTGTCAGCACAGAGCCCAACGCAGGGCCCAAACTCAGGAAATGTGATATCATGACCTGAGCTGAAATCAAGAGCCAGAAGCCTAACCAACTGAGCCACCATGTGCTCCAAGATGTGTATTTTCAAAAGAAAAACACACATATATTATAAATCCGATAAGAAAAAGTTGATTGCTTGCTACTATAAAACTTCTGGGGAAAAAGCTGATTAATAAAAGGGGTCTTTGTACAAAACCATAAAGTAAGTCGTGTGTATGTGTGTGTATTTGAGAAATATGCACATAAAAACCCAACTCACAATGCAATAGAGATTTAAATTTATAACAAATGCCCCAAATTTACATTTAAAAACCTCAAAATGTAATGGAATCTAAGCCACTGGGAGATAGTTAATAATTCTTTTAATAATATATGTCCTCTTTCCTCATTACTGTTTGCTAAGATTTGGGTTGAACAGTATAACAGGGTTGGTATGAAAATAATTTTATCCATACCTTGATTAACATTTTATCACTTTGGTTGTTTAATTTTGAACATAAATAAGGATGACTTTACACTAGGAGAATACAATTTAAATAGCATCAGTAAAACTAAGTAAAATGAGACAATTTCTCTTTGTTTTTGGTTGACTCAATAGTCATTTGTCAGATTATTTATTTTAAAAATATTATTCAAAGATATGCAGTATTTCTACAATGATCTGATAAGAACTCCAGCTTATACAACATCTGTTTTCTTAAGAAGAGTACCTGATTTTGCTTACAGCAAGTTCTTTTCAAAAGCTTTCTTCTTTGCTTAGTCCCAAGTACACTTTATATATTAACTGAGTAAGGTCCATCTGTACATAATCATTCGCATACATTTGGATGTGCTGAATTCTAAATTTAAAAAAAATCTATGTTTAGAATAAAGACTACCCACTGCAATAAATATGCAAAACAAGTAAATAAAAGCATTAGAGCACAGAGCCTAATTGGGCTCTATAGAACAATGGTAAATTTAAGTCTACGTAACGTTCACAAAAGAAAAATGTCAATCAGATTATTTGTTCCAGTGATGTTTCCAGTACAAATAGTGTTTCTTTAGCTAATGATATCTTAGCAATATAATATCCTTCCAAAGAACAACGGATCAAAAAAACATCAAAATGATTCCCTAGGAAATTCCCATTACCAGTTCTTTATACTGTTTTTCTTAAAGGTTCAATTCCAAGCCAAACCAATTCTCCTTGCTAGAGTAAAGCTAAATCACAGTTTACAATTGTATTCATTATGTGCTGTACTTGGCCATACCTGCTTTTATAGCTATTATAAAAAAATACAATTTCATTAAGAAAAGAAAAAAGCCTAAGAGAATGTAATCTATATAAAAATAAATAGATTAAAATATTTTTTTCAAATAGGCTGAATTTCTTTTCAAAAACAATTATATAATAAAATATTCATATTTTATTTAGTAAAGAGCCTTGATGTTTCATTCCTTATCCACTAGGCAGATACAAGAAAATCTGGGGTAAGTTAGTGGAGGGGATAATACAATTACTAAGCTGTGGTACATTAGCGGAAGGATGCTGGGTAAGTTCATGGAAGGATATGTAATACAACAGTCTTACTAAGCTGTTTTGGTATACTGGACCACTGTGCAAAATACATTTCTGAATTCTACCCTCAAATATAAATTAAGTGGGAATGCAGAAAACTCTGTCAGGCCAAGTCTCCTAATTTATATTAAAAAAGGGGGGGAGGGGACACAAATAAACTAGATACAACTATTTATTTAAGTGAAAAAGTACTACTACTTATATCCTATATGTATCAAGATTCAGATTTCCTACCTAGTACAAATACTTCACCAGGCTAATAAAAATAACGTGTCTAAATTATGCCAGGATTAGCCAAAGACCATATTGTTATGGCGGAGGTACTTTGGAAAACAGTTTGGCAGTTCCTCAAAAAATTAAGCATAGAGTTATCATACACCCAGCAATTACACTTCTAGGTAGTTGCCCAAGTGAAATGAAATTATATGTCCACACAAAAACTTGTATATGAATGTTATTAACAGTATTACTCATGACAGCCCCAAAATAAAAACAACCTAAATGCCCACCAGCTGATGAATAGGAAAACAAAATAAGGTATATCCATATAATGAAGTACTATTTGGTAATAAAAAGAAATCCTGATACATGCTACAACATAAATTAACATTTAAAAAAGTAGCTAATTGCAAGAAGGCAGTCACAAAAGGCCACAAGATATGATTCCATTTACATGAAATGAGCACAAAAGACAAATCCATAGAGACATAAAGTAGATTAGCGGTTGATGGGTTGGGAGGAGGGAAAGAGAGACTGCTGATAAGTATGGGCTCCTTTCTGGGGTGATGACAGGGTTTTGAATTATACAGTGGTAATGGCTGCACAACTCTGTAAATATACCTGAAGCCACTGGACTGTATACTTTAAAAGAGAATATTTTATGGTATGTGAGTTATATCTTGATAAAGCTGTTACTTTAAAAAGAAGAAAAAATGAATAAACTGAAAAGCCTAATTCTTAGTCAGGATATGAATATTTTCATTGTGTATTTTATTAATAACACCAGGGCTATCGCAGGAAAATCATAAATTGGGTAAAGGCACAGGTACCACAGGATTCTAGGAGACTTTTCCCAAAATACAGGACTTCCTTGAGAGGAATTAAAATGAAACCAAAATGTGCCACAAATTTCTGCTTTCTCTACTCTCTGTTCTACATATCTGTCATCCTTATCCATGTTTCTACTTCTGGCCTATTAGATTTGAATAATGGATCCAAACACGCGACACTCAAGCCCCCTTTATATAATAATATCCCAGATTAAATAAGAACTGAACGTGAGAATTACAGAATATCAGAATATCAGAATAACAGATAGAGACCTCATATGATTATTTCCCTCCCCTCTCATCCACTGAGTTAGGCCCATATATTCCAGGAATGCAAGTTATTTTAAATTATGAGATAAAAGATAAAATATTTCTTCTAGAATTATTTATTGCTTTTTAAAAACCTTGTTCTAAACTGCCACACCAACTAAAATGAATAGAAATGCCAAGATGGTTCAGACAAATAATAAAGGAAAAGCGCCAGTTCTATTGTCATTATTTATCTAACCCAACATCATTTTTGGCTTCAAACAGCAATCAAGGGGCGCCTGGGTGGCGCAGTCGGTTAAGTGTCTGACTTCAGCCAGGTCACGATCTCGCGGTTCGTGAGTTCGAGCCCCACGTCGGGCTCTGGGCTGATGGCTCAGAGCCTGGAGCCTGTTTCCGATTCTGTGTCTCCCTCCCTCTCTGCCCCTCCCCCATTCATGCTCTGTCTCTCTCTGTCCCAAAAATAAATAAACGTTGGAAAAAAAAAAATTAAAAAAAAAAAAAAACAGCAATCAAATACTTTGATACTGATAGGAGACAAATTTTTTTTCAAAGATAACTCTGCTATATAAAGTTCAGCTTAAGATCAGACACAAACCTTAAATCTAGCCATGCAATAGCAACAGCACAATCCTACAGCTGTCCTCTCAGCCCTGAGGTACACTGACTGGATGGATGGCCTTAATTCAGATGAATTTCCTTTAGAGTAACACCTGGATGTCATATATTTCATTATTTCTATCTTTCTGAGAATAATAAAGGCCTGAATTCTAGCAAACTGAGCCAATGGTTTCATAAGTGTTGACGGCGCAGAATTCTCTGACGTACATGGATGAGGGACTCTCTGTCACCTCATGTGCCATACCTGGTATGCACTGTGCTGTGGCCTCAGTGGTTATGGTTGGAGCAACTGGGGGCTGCTGCTGACTGGAGCTCACTTCTGGCTCTGTGTTAACTGAGGGAGAAAGAGCTACCTCACAAGAGGAGACCTGGCTGGGCAGATGGGGCAGGAACTCTTCAGAAGCAATTTGGTCATCTTGTCCAGGCAGTTGCAGGGCAGACAAAGGGATGCTGATCTGTTTATTAGGATGGGAAGTGCTCACAGGCATCTGCATGGCCACCTGCTGGTTTGTGCCATGGGCACTGGGAGGTCCTCTGTTTGGTGAAGCCAGAGATACCCTGGCAGTCTTCTGGACGATCGGTCTGGACATCACAGAGGGGGATGCAGACACACCATGTGGGTCCAGCTCTGTGCTGATGGCAGATGTTACATGGGGAATCAGCTTAGCAGACCCTATACAAGAGGGACCAGCATGACTCTGAGGCTTGGGTTTTGCCATCTGTGTCAATGACAGGGCTGGTCCGTCTACCCCTCCAGTCAGCTCTGCATTCGCCACAATGTAATAATCCTCGGGAATCTCTTGTTTGATTTTCTTAATGATGACATCATTGCTGCATTCATCAACCATTTGAGCTTGGGAGCTGGAATGGAGAGAAGATGGAACTATTCCAGGCCTTTTTCGAGCAATGGTTTGAGGCCTTTGGGTTTGGGGTTCAAAGTCACTATCCTCATCTGTAACAGAAGACTCACAAACCATGTCAAACAGGGTGTTTTCATCTTCATATTCTTCAACAGCTTCATCCAGTTCAGAGGGCTCACTGCAATAAGAGAAGTCACAAGAGTCTCTGGTCCGATTACAGTCTAGCTTCGCTTTCACTGGTCTCCCAGGGTACCTTTCAACAGGGCTAGTTTGTGTCTCGGAGGGCACTCCGATTATACTGGGACTATCAGAGTTAAAACTTCTGTTATCCTGGAAACAGACCCTTTCTTGGGACCCAGCTCTGCAAGTAGCTGTCAATGGCCAGTGATAAGCATGGCCAGCACTACAGCCCCACATTGCTGTGAGGTTCCCATGGGAACCTTCTGAAAGCAAGTGTTTCAGGTTTGGAATGAGGCTGCAAATGGTCCCATGGCTGTGGGCCCAGCTGACCAATTTGGACAGATTCTCAGATGAGGTATGAAGGCAATCCTCCATGTTACAGGATCAGCAGTGTCTTTCCTAAAGGGAAATAATCAAAATAAGAAGCCATTATTACCCAAGATATTCCCGTATCTCCATCATTTCAATATCCTTGAACTATGATCATGTGGCATAAAAAAGAAATGCACTTCAAAACTTTATCTAGTTAATATTGCTGCACATGGGCAGGGACTGGAAGAGAATACAGGGAAAAGTAAAAAACAGTTGATGCCTTATGGCTGTGAAACAAGAAGATTTTTGTCCGTCTCCTTCAATGTTATAATATCTACATAAAAAGTAATATCTGCATAAGAAAAAATGTGGGAAAGAAAAAAAAAACAAGCAATAAAAAAGAGGTGAGGTTTGTCATGGTACATTTTACTTCCAAAGTCACAAAAAGAGGCTTAGTCAGCCCCTTAAGAGTAAAATGTATGCATTATTTGTATTAACCAAGAAAATGCACTTCCAACTTTACACTCTGCCATCAGAAACTTCATTACTGAAGGCAGAACCAACAAAGGCTGAGATCCATTCTAGGATGAGTTACAGAAGGGAAGTCAATCCTCTGCTGGGCACCAGAAAGCAATGATGCAACTAAGAGTCCAAGGAAAGAATCAAACGCTGAAGTGCAGAAGAAAAGTCTAATAGAGAAAGGAGAATGGACTGGGAGGAGAGCCACTAGAGTGCACCTGCTGGGATCTGGGTTGCAGGCAGTCTGTAGATCAGAAGCAAGGATGGGTGGGCCAGGTGCCGGGACTCTAACCAAATCTTAGGAACAGGATTTCTGCCTCCTTGCTGTCTGAAATTCCTGAAATACTGCCTTTCATGTCACAATTTAGAGGTAAAAGATGGGTCTGGTGTGTTCCACCATCTGAGACTCCTGGGCACCCTAGGATAACCAACTACCAAATAGGAATAAACTATTCTTTATTGGACAGACTTCAGAATCACTTGTTATGAGTCCTTGGCTGGGTAAGAGTGAGGACAAGATGATGGGCAAGAAAAGTAAAATGGGGCACGTGGAGTCTGCATGTGATTAGAAAGGGCAAGTAAAAGGGAGATCCTGGGGAGAACTGGGATGAGGGGCGTGGAGAAGGAGGAACAAGGATCTTGATGTGTGGTTAGTCGGTCCTGTTCATCTGTAGCTGTGAGTAACAAGTGGTGCCTCAGTGTAGGTGGGCTCTGCACTGAGGTACCAAGGTCTAACTATAATGTCAGGTGGTCATACAAAAGGGCACATTTGAATCTCCATGGCACCTCATCAGTAGAGTTAGGTAAAGTGAAACCTTTCACATGTTATGAGGCCTCTGTGATGTGGTCAGGACCACAGCCAACCTCTCAAACCTCATTTCCTACTAGTATGGGATTTCCCCACATTTTTTATGGTCTCCTCTTCGCTAAAGTTTCTCACCCTCCACTAGGCCTCTAAAAATTTGTTCTTTGTCTTGATATGCAGCCCTCTTCTTTATTCATCTGGAAAATCCTTTCAAAACTGAACTTGAGACCACCTCCTGTTGAAGTCTTTCCAGAACTTCTTTCAGCCTCAAAAATGTATTCAAATTCTTTTCACTTGTGCATCTATCATCTCCTGAGTTATCTCTGTACTGTTATCATTGACATTCTTGTCTGTTTCCCAAACATGACTGAGAATTACTTGAGGACAGGAACTATAATTTTGCATTCATCAATGAGGGCCTACTTGGGGATTAATACGATATGGTCCTGCTCTTGAGAATTTATAATCTACTGTTAATGATGAGTGAATGAATGAAGAATGAATGAATAAATATATAAATGCTGGCAGTGCCATCAACATTAACAAAGCGAACACATAAGACCCTCAAATAAAGGGGTGTCTGGGTGGCTCAGTCAGTTAAGTATATGACTCTTGATTTTGGCTCAGGTCATGATCTCACAGTTTGTGAGTTCAAATCCCGTATCAGGCTTCTCACTACCTCTTTCTCTGCCCCTCCCTTCCTCAAGCTCTTTCTCTCTCTAAATAAATAAACATTTAAAAAAATCTTTTTTCAAAGACCCTCAAATAAGAAACAAGAAATCTCCTCCTATCACTTTATTGTAATCACTGAAGGGAACAGAGGATTTTCTTGCCAGTGGTATAACCAAACCACGGCTGTCTTGTGTACAGAAGACTAATACATGAGCAACCAGATTTTAAGAAGCAGCACAGTAAATGGAAAGAACAGTTATTGGCATAGGAGTTGGGAACTTCAATTCTAGTCCTGGAACCTGAGTCTATGGCCTCAAACAAATCATAGATTACCTCTAAGCTAAAATGTCAGGACTATATGATCTTTATGTTCCCTTCATACTTTAGGAATTTAGGGACTTATTTTTATTTGTTTCATATAACTTTAAAGTAAAAATGCAGAGAAAAGAGAAAGACTGCTACAATTAACACAATGAGCACTGAGTAATGTACAAAATTGCTGAATCACTATATTGTACACCTAACACTAATATAAAACTGCATTAACTATATTGAACTTAAAATTACAAAATTAAAAAAAAAGAAAGGGGCGCCTGGGTGGCTCAGTTGGCTGAGCATCTGATTTTGGCTCAGGTCATGATCTCACGGTTCTTGAGTTCAAGTCCCGCACCGGGCTTGCTGCTATCAGCATGGAGCCCACTTTGGATCCTCTGTCCCCCTCTCTCTCTGCCCCTCCCCTGCTCACACGCTCTCTCTCTCAAAAATAAACACACACACACACACACACACACACACACACATAAAGCAAGAAGGCCTGACTTTTTTTATTTTTGTTTTTTAAGTTTCTTAATGTCTATATTTAATAGGAATAGGAATTGAAATAGGAATTGTCCCTTGAAATAGGAATTGTCATATAACACAGTTCTGGGCAATAATGTGTTAAAAAAAAAAAAGCCACTGAGTGGGGTTTGGGAAAGCCTTCTGAAAAACAGACTTGTCCAGTTTTTGTCTTTTTTTTCTTTTGCCCTTTGTCCTTCTCTTTCTTCCCGACTAGAACAAGGACATGATGGTTGGAGCTCCATATGGCAATAGAGGCCATAATGGGAGCATGAAATAAGAACTTAAAGATGGGAGAGAATAGCCAGAAGGAGGTTGGGTCCCTGTTGACATCATAAAGCCATGACATCAACTCTGGACTATCTAGGACTCTTTATTACATAAGGAAAGATGAGCCCCTTACCTTGCTTAAGCCACTGTTGTTGGAGTATTTAATTACATACAGCTGAACTCAACTACTACCTGACACACAAAAAATAACATTCATCTCTGGTTTTTGGAACCTCAGAGCAGAATCCTTCAATTTCTCTGCACCATGCCCCAGTAAAATTGTTTCTCAGACTGGACTCCACAAATAAATTCTTGGGAAGTCTATAATTCTATTCCAAAATGTTTTATTTTGATTCTATAAAAATATGATTATTTTTATGACCCAGCAATAGCACTGCTAGGAATTTATCCAAGGGACACAGGAGTACTGATGCATAGGGGCACTTGTACCCCAATGTTCATAGCAGCACTCTCAACAATAGCCAAATTATGGAAAGAGCCTAAATGTCCATCAACTGATGAATGGATAAAGAAATTGTGGTTTATATACACTATGGAATACTACGTGGCAATGAGAAAAAATGAAATATGGCCTTTTGTAGCAACGTGGATGGAACTGGAGAGTGTGATGCTAAGTGAAATAAGCCATACAGAGAAAGACAGATACCATATGGTTTCACTCTTATGTGGATCCTGAGAAACTCAACAGGAACCCATGGGGGAGGGGAAGGAAAAAAAAAAAAAAAAAGGAGAGTGGGAGACAGCCAAAGCATAAGAGACTGTTGAGAACTGAGAGCAAACTGAGGGTTGATGGGGGGTGGGAGGGAGGAGAGGGTGGGTGATGGGTATTGAGGAGGGCACCTTTTGGGATGAGCACTGGGTGTTGTATGGAAACCAATTTGACAATAAATTTCATATATAAATAAAAAAATATGATTATTTTAAGCATATCATGAGTCATCTAAATAATCACATTACATCCGAGTATTACCTTTGCATCTATACTCACATTATTGTCCATAATCACCTAAAGTGACATGATTCAACTTCCAATTTGTTGGGAAACCCATTCATGCTGTTTCCTTTTTAGCAGATATAAATACAAAACTTCTCTTTTGCATTAATTTTCAGATGAAAGGCAATCATGATTTGACGTCATGAAAATGGCATATGTGATGGTGAAGCAATATACCACTTTAAGTGTCACAGGGTAATGAGAAAATAAAAAGGAGTTGAAATAAATATATATGTTCATAGAAAGAAAATAACATACATTATGGCACAATATTTGACTAAGGACGTTGTAACAGTTCAAACAGACAAAAATGTGACAGATTCCAAACATAAAATTGTATAAGCATGTAGAACTCCAAAGAACTTATTGTATAAGTAAAAGCTACAGTAGTAAAATAAGTACCTTTACTGAAGGTCCCACAAGCTGGAAAAAAAATTATAATAAAAGACAAAGTAGATAAAATTTCAAATTTTGTTAAAAGCTTATCCACTTAATTCTATAATAATAACCAACCTTTAAGAATCAATAGACAGTAATCAGAAGTCACTTTTATTACATTCTGAAATTCACTAGCAATCTTATGAAGAGGCTCTTAAACTTTTCTTGAGTACGATAAAGTGAAAATATTTTTCCAGTATCACTATTAATATATTTCAGCCAGGCAACCAATGTTAACCAATACAGTTATAAGAGAGCATGATTAGCTGATATTTAGGGTAATTAAATGGATTGAGTCCAAACTGCCAAGGAATAACTATCAATATGCTGCAATATATTCTAAATTTAATAAAAATAGAATCAATAAGACAATTAGGGTATTTCCAAGGTGCTAAAAATAAATCCTTTCAAGAACCTACTGATTTCCTTCAACAGTCTGATGATAAGCTCTATGCTGAAAAACAATGCTTTTTCTACATTTTCAAGAATTAAAAATAACTTCAGACAGTATTTTCCCATATTCATATGGGC